GAGACAGCTTGTTTTCTGTTGCTCTACATGGAGCAATGGATTCAAATGGCAGGAAAAGAGATTCTACCTAAACATTAGGGAGAACTTCCTGATTCGACAGTGGAATACGATGCCTTGGAGTGTGATAGACTCTCCTCTGAAAGTTTTTATGTTGAGACTTGATGACCATTTGTAGAGAGTGCTTTGATTAGGTGCTCCTAAATGACAGAATGGGATTAGACTGGATGACCCTTGTTTTGGAACATGCAAGCAATCAGTCAGTGTGTGTGCTTGTGTCAACTGCAAAATACGATGCATGAAACTGATTGGTCGGGCAATGAACAGGGTGATGGCTGAGCCTGGAACTTTTGGATACAGGCTCAGCTATGCAAGAGCACAGAGAGATGAAGAGAGAAGAAGCAGAGAAAGACAGACTGATTTGCTTCTTAGCTGCTGAAAGAAGGTATCTCATATGGACAAAGAATTGCCATTTTAAATCCCTCTGAAAGGACATTTAGTGAGTTGATGCAACTGATCATATCGTACATATGTTGTTCTGAACTACGAAGAGTAAACTACTTTTTCTTTACTGTTCACCTGCATGGCATATTTTCTTTCTCTGGCAAGGCAGTGTGTGGACTAATCAAACATGGATTACATGTGGTTTATTTTACATAATGCTACACCTTGTGGTATCTTTCAATTCTCTGACTCTATGGTTGTATGAATGGCTAACAACTGTGACATCAAAAGTAGCCATTTTTGCTGGTTTTTAGTACACATACATTCTCTGGCAAAATCAGAAATAAGCCAAACAAGAATTTAAAAAATCTGCCTGCAGTACAATGCCTTTTGTTTTTTTAGGGCAAGGAATACATTGTGGGTTTTGTGTGCCAGACCTTTGGGGACAAGGCAGAGGTGGCACTTCCCAGCATTTCTTCTTCATTGTTTGATTCTTTCTAGGAAAGCTAGAAAGAGGACCCGATTGTACCATAGAATATTGTCATCCCTCCCTCCCCCTTTTCAGCTTCGTGCAAACAAACAGCCGTGTGACTTCTGGGAGGAGGCATATTGTTAAGGAAGAAGCTGCCTTGGCTTTAGTCCATTCTCAGAACAATATATTGATTTATAACCTTGCAGAGAGAATTATCCAAAGCTCCTGGGATGAGGCAAGCCGTCTGTTTTGACATGAGTGCCATGAGGCAAGACAAGGAAGGACACGATACTTTCAGCTGACAGATTCAGATTTGGATCTAAATTTGGTGCAGTAAATCAAAATCGGACTTCGCAAGGGAGGGAATTTCTGCAATATATAATCCTTTCAATGGAATGGTATTTATTTATGCAACATTCCTTGGCACTGTCATGCTTTTTTTTTTTTTGGATAATATTGATTCAGTTTTCAGTTATACTCTATGAAAGTAATGTTCAAAGTGAGGGAAAGTAAAGAAAGAAGAGGGTGGGGGAGAAACGAATGGATAAAGAAAGAGCTGGGGTTGGAGAACAGGAAGGGGAAGGGGCTTCTAGGGGAGGGGGTGGTTTGAACTTCCCATCTTTATCGTGATGATGCTTCTTCTTTTCAGTCTTTGTTTTATTTACTTTTAATATGTACTTCTCTGCTTCTTCTCTCCTCTTCAGCTAGTGTTTCGTCTTGACTGACTTCTGTCAGTCATCCTTTTTACCTTCTTTTGGATTAGATAGTCCCTCACCAGGTTCCAGTCTGTCTCTTCTTTTGACATTCTTTGACGTCCTTTTAATAATTGAGTTAATTCATCCATGTTTCTGATTTCTAAGATTTTAACTAACCAGCTTGCAGAAGAATAAGGACCGAGCTGTGGCGCAGCTAGTTAGTAGCCAGCTGCATTAAATCACTACTGACTGAGAGGTCATGAGTTCAAAGCCAGCCTGGGTCAGAGTAAGCTCCCGACCATTAATAGCCTAGCTTGTTGTTGACCTATGCAGCCTGAAAGACAGTTGCATCTGTCATGTAGGAAATTTAGGTACCACTTTATGGGGGAGGCTAATTTAACTAATTTACGACGCTATAAAACCTTCTAGCAGTGTGCAGAAGAATGAGGAAGTACTCCATTAAAGGAACCGGTGTCACAAGTGGACAGTGAAGCGATAGCTCCCCCTGTGGCCAGAACCGAGCATACCCTCATGAAGCCGGAAAAGCTGGAATGTTAAATTGCCTCTGTGTCTGTCTAAATGGCATTGAATGTTTGCCATGTATATGTGCATTGTAATCCGTCCTGAGTCCCCTGCTGAATGAGAAGGGTGGAATATACTGTAAACAAATAATTAATTCTTGAATTGTTGGTGTTTCTTTCAATCTCTGCTTTCTGAGTAGACAGTTCTTGCTGCCGTTGTTAAGTAACGTAGCAGGATTCCTTTATTATTTTCTAAATCTTTGTTTGATATTCCTAATAAATATATTTCTGGCACTGTCATGCTTTTTTCTGTCTTTTCTGGAATATAGCTCAGAAGTCTTCCTGTTTGGACTACATACCCCAAGGTGGTTCCAGACAACAGAAAAGTCCATGCTGACCCGTGTTTAAAAAACCCTGGTCAGGGCAGACTGTAATCCGCACAATGGCCCCAAAACCCCGGGCTTTTCGCGGAGGTTGTCTAGATGTCTAGAAGGACAAGGAGACTCCTGTGCCACCCGCCAAAAAAAGCCTTTAAAAAATAACTTATGGGGCTAGCATTTTCCTACTGCTGGCACTATCCTGGCATGTAGCAATGATGCACCAGGAGAAGGGGGGCCAGGAGCGATATTCCTCCTTACCTTCCTGTCCTGGCTTGTTGTTGTTGTTCATTCGTTCAGTCGCCTCCAACTCTTCGTGACCTCATGGACCAGCCCATGCCAGAGCTCTCTGTCGGCCGTCACCACCCCCAGCTCCTTCAAGGTCAGTCCAGTCACTTCAAGGATGCCATCCATCCATCTTGCCCTTGGTCGGCCCCTCTTCCTTTTTCCTTCCACTTTCCCCAGCATAATTGTCTTCTCTAGGCTTTCCTGTCTCCTCATGATGTGGCCAAAGTACTTCAACTTTGTCTCTAGTATCCTTCCCTCCAATGAGCAGTCGGGCTTTATATCCTGGAGATGGACTGGTTGGATCTTCTCGCAGTCCAAGGCACTCTCAGCACTTTCCTCCAACACCACAGCTCAAAAGCATCTCTTCCTTCGCTCAGCCTTCCCGAAGGTCCAGCTCTCACATCCGTAGGTTACTACAGGGAATACCATGGCTTTGACTAGGCAATGGATCTTGGTTGCCAGTCTGATGTCTCTACTCTTTACTATTTTATCTAGACTGGACATTGCTCTCCTCCCAAGAAGTAAGCGTCTTCTGATTTCCTGGCCACAGTCTGCATCTGCAGTAATCTTTGCACCTAGAAATACAAAGTCTGTCACGGCCTCCACGTTTTCTCCCTCTATTTTCCAGTTGTCAATCATTCTTGTTGCCATAATCTTGGTTTTTTCGATGTTTAGCTGCAACCCGGCTTTTGCGCTTTCTTCTTTCACCTTGATTAGAAGGCTCCTCAGCTCCTCCTCGCTTTCGGCCATCAGAGTGGTGTCATCTGCATATCTGAGGTTGTTAATGTTTCTTCCAGCACTTTTCACCCCAGCTTTGCATTCATCAAGCCCCGCACATCGCATGATGTGTTCTGCATACAAGTTAAAAAGGTTGGGTGAGAGTATGCAGCCTTGCCGTGCGCCTTTCCCAATCTTGAACCAGTCTGTTGTTCCGTGGTCAGTTCTGACTGTTGCTACTTGGTCCTTGTACAGATTCCTCAGGAGAGAGACAAGGTGGCTTGGGATGCCCATCCCACTAAGAACTTGCCACAATTTATTATGATTCACACAGTCAAAGGCTTTAGAATAGTCAATGAAGCAGAAGTAGATGTTTTTCTGAAACTCCCTGCCTTTCTCCATTATCCAGCGGATATTGGCAATCTGGTCTCTCGTTCCTCTGCCTTTTCTAAACCCAGCTTGAATGTCTGGCAACTCTTGCTCCATGTATTGCTGGAGTCTTCCTTGCAGGATCTTGAGCATTACCTTACTGGCATGAGAAATAAGGGCCACTGTACGGAAGTTTGAGCAGTCTTTCGCATTTCCCTTTTTTGGTATGGGGATATAAGTTGATTTTTTCCAGTCTAATGGCCATTCTTGTGTTTTCCATATTTGCTGGCAAATGGCATGCATCACCTTGACAGCATCATCTTTTAAGATTTTAAACAGTTCAGCTGGGATCCCGTCGTCTCCTGCTGCCTGCTGTCCTGGCTAGCCATTGCTATATGCCAGGAGTGGGCTGGCAGCAGGGAAATGTCGGCCCCCATAAGTTATTTTAATTTTTAAAGGCTTTGTGGTAGGGATTTGGGGAATGGGTTGGTGCCCTCGCAGTTTTCCAGGCTGAATCAGCCTGGAAAATGCGATAAGGCTGTCTGGACTGCTCCCTCAGAAGTTAAAGACTTCTGAGAGGGTAGTCCAGACAGCAGCCATAGTGGGTGGATCAAACCCACTACAAAGCAGGATTTTCTTGCTTTGTGGTGAATGCAATCACTTTTACATGGGGTGTTGTTTGGACACCCCACGTGAAAACACAGGAGCTCGCGCTTTTAAGGGGCTGTCTGGATGGGCCCCCAGTAATCAAAAAGTGTGTTTCCAAGCTGTAGAATTTGGGAGCATTGAGCTATTTGTGATAGAACCACGTATCCTGATTTTATGTTCTTCAGATGAGTTGGATCACAACTTTCATCATCCCTATCCATCATGGCTCTGGGGAAATGTTCAGAGATGTGGTCAATCTTCAGAGCACTCTTGAGAGAGGTATTGGCTGACATCATGTTCTACACCCAATCATAAACAAAGAGCACTAAACCTGAACAATTGTAGTTTTTGACAAACATGGACTCTTCATTTCACTTCTGCTCATTGGGCTGTCTACCTCTCCAGGAAATTCTCAACTCACTTCCTTTTTCTCTCTCCTCCCCGCTCCCTCTTTCTTGTTCTCTTTATTAAGTGACTCTGATCCAGGGGGATATCGCCAACCTGGAAGATGTGAGGACCGCTGTACAAGGTGCCAACGTGGTCATCCACACGGCCAGCTTGGTGGACGTTTGGGGCAGAGTCAGCCCTGAGAAAATCAATGCTGTCAATGTTTGTGGTAAGTTTTAGAACAGGCTTCAAAGGAACCATTTCAGGGACCTCCTCCTTCCTAATGCCCAGGACTTGGACTCATGCAGCCTTCTAGATGATGTGGGATTGAAAATTCCTGCAGCCTCAAGCAGACTAGCTGTTGGTGGGGAATGTTAGGAGTTGCAGTCCAATGTCTTCCAGAACTTCTCAACCCAGTTGGAGACCATATCAAATTGTTATTGGATCAGACCAAGAGAGAATCAAGCAGGAAGCAGTTGCAAGGGGAAAGCTCCCCATTGCTCCATCCTCTGAACCAGGCTTAAATTTCTAAAGCTGAAGTGTTGACAGGGGAGGACCTCAATCAAGCCTACCAGTGGACATTTTTCTCTTTTTGTCTATCATGTTTTTCATGTCATTGTAGGAACCCAAAACGTAATTGAAGCGTGCGTATTGGAAGGGACCCAATTTCTGGTTTACACCAGCAGCATGGAAGTGGTGGGACCCAACACCAAAGGACAACCCTTCTACAGGTAGGTTGCTCTGCTGGACCCAAAGTGTTAAATTAATTGTTCTTTCTTTGTAACTCTTGGGAGAGCTCAGGCACCTAAAGCCATATCAATTCCAGGTGAAGCCTAATATGAATGTAACCTTTCAAAAGGCAGTCCTCTTGTTTGAAATCCCATTGCCATATTTCTGCGGCCTCAATATGGTCTCTACTGGTCTGTACTGGTTATACTGGGCTATACTGGGTTATCCTGGGCACATAACCTTTGTTGGGTGAGTGGGCATATTAACAAAAGACCCTCCTCATAAATGTACAACAGAGTAACTTATCAGCAGCGTGGCCCAGCACCAGTAGCCAAAAGTGCTAAAAAGAACAAAAATACACAGCCCAATGTTATCTCTTCCTTAGGAGAATTTTCTTTATAGCAATATAATATGGTTACAGTATTTACAAGAACAAGGTTTCCATAACACAAATAAACTTCAACCTTCACATTGGAGCTTCATGCATGAGGCTTCTCTCACACAGATATTACACAGGAGCTGCTAAACTTGCAGACCAAAAGGTCACTGGTTGAAATGCCGAGAGTGGGGTGAGCTCCCGCTGTCAACCCCAGCTTCTGCCAACTTAGCAGTTCAGAAACATGCAAATGTGAGTAGATCAATAGGTTCCGCTCCAGCGGGAAGGTAGTGGTGCTCCGTACAGTCATGCTGGCCACATGCCCTAGGAGGTGTCTACGGACAACGCCGGCTCATTGGTTTAGAAATGGAGATGAACACGAACCTCCAGAGTTGAACGTGACTGGTCTTAATGTCAGGAGAAAACCTTTACCTTTTTACACATAAGGCCTTTAACCTGGGGCTTCTTTCACCAAAGCTTCTCACACACTGAGGTTTACCTCACACTCTTCAGGACGACATTAGCTTTGGCCCACTGACTCCAACAGGCTTCGGCCTACTGACTCTTTCAGTGCTTGACTCACATTTTTGTAATCAAAAATACCTAGTTAATATTTAATATTTCTGACAGCTTTCCCTCACTTTCCCCTATTAGTGTAGATACAGACCTCTGCCTTAACTAGTTCACCCTTCCAGCTGCCCCAGAATTGCTTCTACATCTTTTCTGATGAAGAGTTGTTGAAAGTCTGAAAATTTGCATGGCATTCTATGACTATTTCAAGTAAAAAAAAAACTATTACCATATCCTGACCTTCCAAGGACTTTCCCCCCAAATATAGACTTATTGAATTAGTTGGATGTACAGGGTTGCTAAAAGTATGATCGGGTTATCATTTAAATGTTATCATTTAAAGGGAGTAGGTTAGCAAGGGATAACAACCATCAAGACAGAGAATAGGAAGTTTTTAGGGATTCTAAAAGAAATATATACAATAGAGTCTCGCTTATCCAACTTAAACAGGCCAGCAGAATGTTGAATAAGTAAAAATGTTGGATAATAAGGAGGGATTAAGGAAAAGCCAATTAAACGTCAAATTATGTTATGATTTTACAAATTAAGCACCAAAACATCATGTTTTACAACAAATCAACAGAAAAAGCACTTCAATACACAGTAATGTTATGTAGTAATTACTGTATTTACGAATTTAGCACCAAAACATTGCAATGTATTGAAACAGCTGTGGATCCAGGTAGAAGGCAGACTGTGCTGGATAACACAGAAGATTGGATGAGTGAGACTCTACTGTGTTACTATAAAGTACAATATTGTAGAGTCTTCATCATTCTATATATTTGAAATATCTCTGTGTTGTAGTTGGTGTTTTTATTGATTTTTTCTTGGATTTACAAAAATGTGGATTTACTTTGGTAATGCTAACTGATTCAACTGAGATAAATAAATGACTTCAGAGCCAAACTTTTAGGACTTCATCTCTCATAATCCACTGCTCATGCTGGCTATGGATGATAGTACTTGCAATCCAACAACCTATGTTCCACAATCTATCCCCTCAATCCAAGTGTGTGGAAGGGTGGCCTGGTTATACCATTGCTGTATTCTTCAACTCCTGCCACCTTTCATTTTTGACTCAGGACAAAATAAGATAAAATTCCAAACGGCATGCCTAAGGCGTTAATCTTCTCTGTTTGTACATGTGTGGTATCCAAAACAAGGAGTTTCCCCCTGGCTTTGGTCCAGACCAGTGATCTGGGCTTCCCCAGAAACCTCCTTAGCAACACTATAGCAATAGCCGTACATAGAAACCCCAGAGATTGGGAAGGGAGAGATTTTTCAGAATACAGTGCTCCCTATGGGGCATTGCTTTTGTCCTGGTCTCAAGAAATGTTTCTCTTCTAGTAACACACAACAATGGGGGGAAATGGGGGTACTGGAGGCTTGGCTAAGGTAAATTTGGCTCTGGCTTGCTTGCATATGCCACATTGCATCACTCTCCGCAGATGTTAAAATGTTTGCTGCCAGTGTTCTGGCCTGAGATGGAGAAAGAAACTGAAAAAAATGCAGCCAGTAGCGTGAGTGCAAGCAATGGCCTTTCTAGCATTCTGCGTAATAGGGAAAGGTTACACTCCATAGACTCATCTAAGGCTTAAACAAAATAAGCCCATTCTTAGGCATTAAGGGAGGGTCTTTCATTCTAGACCTAGACATGATGGAGCCATACCTGCCTTTTCTTCTCTCCCTCTATGGCCAGGGCAGTGGGATGAAAGGAGAGGACTATATCTGCCATAATTTTTTACATACACTCACACTTTTCCAGGTTCTATTTCTTACTACAGGAGGTAGAAATAAATATTTATGCGTCATATAAAGGTATCCCATTGACATTAAGTCTAGTCGTATCCGACTCTAGGGGATGGTGCTCATCTCAATATCTAAGCCAAAGAGCTACTGTTGCCCAAGGTCATGTGGCCAGGATGACTGCATGGAGCGCTGTTACCTTCCCACTGAAGTGGTACCTATTGAACTACTCACATTTGCATGTTTTCAAACTGATAGGTTGACAGAAACTGGGCCTAACAGTGGGAGCCCTCCTCACTCCCCAGATTCAAATGACCAACCTTTCAGTCTGCAAATTCAAGAGCTCAGCAGTTTAATCTGCTGCACCACTGAGGACTCCCAATGGGGTCATATAGCCCCCTAAATATAATTAACGTCAAGTAATATACTCATTGTGGTGGGGCATTTGCTGTTCTGCCTCATGCAACAAATGTCTTAATTGGGTTTCCTGACTCGATCGGGGTCATAGGATTGGGAATCACAGTGGGATTGGAGGTGAGGTGAAGGAAAACTAAAGTATAAGATTCCACGTGTGGCATGATAAAACAACTTTTCTTATGCATTTACAATTGTGGAAGAAATAGTACTAGTCACAACAATATCATTTATCTTTTCTCGTAATAGCGAAGGTGTCTTTATCCCATGCTGCACAGTACAGTGTGTGGTATTGTTAGACCACTATATAAATGCATTAGAGTTTATTCTTCAACACTAAAGTATATTTATTTATTTATTGTATCAGGAGCCGACCGAGAGTACAATTGTCATGTATTTGAAAACACATGCTTGTAGACGATGCGGAAGAATTTTTATTGTGTCAGAAGTGAATTGAGAATGCAGTTATAATATATAGAAAAACCACAAACAAAGTGTAGAAACTTGGCATTATACTGAATGTCCTTTGACCATACTTCATACTAGAAACATTCAGTTTGATTGCTTATGGTGTTTTGTCCTTCCTTTGCAGAGGAAATGAAGACACTCCTTATGAATCTGTTCACGAATTGCCATATCCGGTTAGCAAAGCAAAGGCTGAGAAGCTGGTACTTGAAGCCAATGGACGACCGGTAAGCCAGACTGTCCTTCTTTGCGGGGTCGGTATAAGACAAAGGAACTTTGTGCCATTTTAATAGATGAACAGATTTATTGCAACATAAGCTTCTGTGAGCCAAAACCTTTGCTGTACACCTAAAGTAAATCCTTGATAGATTTCGCTGTATCTCCTAAGGATACATTTTATGCCTCTGATGCAGTGGATTCTAATTCATGAAAGTTTATAGGACTCAGTGGGTTTTATGTTTGTTTTTTAAGACAAAGTAACAAAGGATTGTACAGCACCTTCAAGATTATGTTGCCTACCCTTCTGGAGTATATTAAAGTTCTGCTCTTTGAGGAGCTGAAAGTACTCTTTGAGGAGTTTGAAAGTTGAGTTGGGAGTGCATGGCATTTCTCACGTTACCTTCCGAACAGCCCTGTGAGGTAGGAGACTCCGAATGTGTGAGACTCAGAAGACTGAGACTGTGTGACTAGTTGAAGAGATTCATAGCTGAACAGGAATTTGGATAATGGGTTTCAGTACATGCTGGACTGCAGTGCCCATTAGTCCCAAGTCATCACAGTTGTATAGCCATGGTATCTGAAGATGATGGTATTTGTGGTTTAATACATCTGAGATGAGACTGCCATGCTGTTTTTGTCATGCTGGCTGGTGGAGCATCTAGAGAGTATCAAGATGGATGAGGCAGCTCTAGTTCACTGGCTCTTTATTTTACCACTTTGGCAGGTAAGAATGTGGTTGTCATTATACTGTATGTATTTGCCAACAAGGGAACTGACAACATTTCTCTCTGCCTCTTCTGTGCCAGATGAAAGGTGGGAAACACCTGGTCACATGTGCCCTTCGCCCAACTGGTATCTATGGGGAGACCCATCCACTGATGAAAGAGTTTTACAAGCAAGGGTTGCTCACAGGAAGGTGGATGTTTCGGGCCATCCCAGCCTCCGTTGAGCACGGCAGGGTCTATGTGGGTGAGTTACACTTCTTCCCTGGACTGTTCCTAATCCCTGTCTTCCATATCACTCTGAGCCAGAGCTAAGAAAAAATGGCCCTTTTGGTGCAGATTGTATCCCTTATCTGAAATGCTGGAACCATGAGTGTTCCATGTTTCAGAATTTGTCAAATTTGGAATACTTGTATCTACATCTTGGAGATGGGACCCAAGTCTAAACTCAAAACTGGTTTATGTTTCATATACACTAACATACCTAGTCTGGCGGTAATTTTATGCACAGTAAGTTTGTGTACACTTAACCATCAGAAACCAAACATGTTACCATTTTATTTATTCATATGGATTTGGAGTATTTTGGAATTTTTGATAAGTGATGTTCAACCTATATTGCATCTTAATTTGTTCCTACAGATATTCAATGCCGAAGTCTATCTCCAGACCTTGATAGTACACAAACCTCCTAAGAAATCAGGATCCTTTTCTCATGACCCAATTATAGTACCATAATTACATTTTAATTCAATTCAATTAAAAAAAATGTTTCCAAGCTGTGGGTGGTGCAATCCATAGATGCAGGATGCAGTTTCAGTGTCCATATTCACTTACCACTTCATCACACTAGAGGAGAAATCCACTTAAAATCCAGTTTCTGCCTTCTGCTGTTAAAGGCTCCTCCCTAAACTACAAACCCCAGAATTCTGCAGGAAGCAGAAACTGGATTTTAAGTGGATTTTTTCCCTCTAGTATGATAGAAGCTGCTGTGACATTACAATGTATGAGCAACTACCGAGAAAATTATGGGATGACTTAGGCACTGCATCCCCATGTGCAGTGGAAATTGAAGTGCATCACCACTCTTGAATATATATAAAAGCACCAGTTAGAAGTGTTGGAGCCTGGTTTTTGAAGTATCAGAAGTGATCGATGCACGTTGGTGGCCTCTTTAGAGAGCATCTTTGCAATTCACCAACAGGGTTTTCTTGCATTTCGGCAACATAGAGTTTTTAATGTTTTTTTTAACTAAATGTTTTATTTACTGTTTTAAACTGTTGCTATTTGTGTTTATATTTGTATTATATTGAGTCCCCCCTTGGGGGTTGAGAAGGGCGGGACAGAAATTTTGGAAATAAATAATAAATAAATATAAAATGGCAAAACCTAGAACATGATCTAAGTCCTTTGTCCTTATGGCAGGGAGCTGAACTGGACAGCCCTCGTGGTCTTTTCCAACTGTACGATTCTGTGATTTAAGCTTGTTTTTCCTTTTCCCATTCTCCTTCCCTGTGCCATCTAACACAGGCAATGTGGCTTGGATGCATCTCTTGGCAGCTCGGAAGATCCAGGAGTCCCCCGTGTCTATAGGAGGCCAGGTGTATTACTGCTATGACTCTTCCCCCTACAAGAGCTATGAGGACTTCAACATGGAGATTCTGGGGCCTTGCGGCTTCCGCCTCCTGGGCTCCCGGCCCTTGATACCTTACTTCCTCCTCCAGCTCATTGCTTTCCTCAACATCTTTTTGCAATGGGTGCTGAAACCTTTCTTCACCTATGCCCCTCTCCTCAATCCCTACACCTTGGTCATCGCCAGCACCACTTTCACTGTAGCAACTGACAAGGCCCAGCAACACTTTGGCTACAAGCCCCGATACACCTGGGAGGAGAGCAAGAGCCGAACCGTCAAGTGGCTTCAGGAGGTGGACGCTCAGACGCAGGCTGGGAAATAGACCACCGAGGACTGGAAAGGTGGAGCAAAGAGATGCCTCAAAGGAAAATCAACCCCAGTATCATCTACCGGAGGAACATCTTTGCAAAACAGAGACCTTGCCTCATCTAGAGCATTGAATCTGGGTGGACTTTGGCTCATGCTATTATATATTTACATATTTAACAGTGCCTTTGCATGTTGCCTTCATCTAAAACATAAAACTGGCTAAGCACTGCACAGAAGTCAAGGACATAATCTTTACCGACAAACACAAAGAAAGTAGTTCATCAAGAAGAAAAGAAGAGGAAGCAGAGATGAATCCATGAACTGTGAGATATCATTCATTTCCAGATGCAAATTCCACAACCAGCTAACTATGTCCTGGATCATCACTAAGTATATTGGACAGTGATGCATATTTCAAGTTTGGTATCTCTTGGATGAGCTTTTTTCTGCAAAAGTTCCCATCCATTTCTAACATGATTTCCAGATCCAGATTTTGCTTTTGGCCTCGCCACATATTCCACACATCTCTCTTGAGTGGGAGCCACCCTCTTCCATAGATTTCTTCTGTCATGCTCTTCTTGTATTCTGTCACCTTGGTAATCTTGATTTTGCTGTCACAGCATGGGCTGGCAATCTATTCCCACTGTACCGCAATCCAATTCCAATTTTTCTTTCTACCTCAATCACCATTACTGTATATTACTCATTCCAGTGCAATAAGGATTCCAGTCCACATTTTGATTTAATTTAGCCAATGCTTAATCATTGGAACAAACAATATAAACTTTCCTTAGTATCACAAAACATTGACAATGCAACATTCTTATGATGCCATGATTTTAATTTGTTTGTGTGTGTGTGTGTGTGTGTGTGTGTATGGTTTTGTGTGTGTGTGGTTGCATATGCAAGTGTGTGCATGCATGTAGGGCTTGTGCAATGGGAAAGTGACTGAAGAATTGTCTAGTATGGGAAAGGTATTCACATTTGCTTAACACAAATAAGGCTACCAGAATTTCTGAGTGAATCCTGAAACTAAAGGATAAATCCTGGAAAGAGTGTGAGCAATATTTTGACATTTAGCTGTTTGCTTATATGTGGAATCTAATAAACATGGGACAAAGCTCAATGCTTCCTTCATTGATCTTCACCTTGCAGTTCTGGGAAACATTTTGTAGGACTTCAGCTCCCATCATACTCAGCTAGCATAGCCAATGATGTGGGATCATATGAATTATACCCCGTCACTACAAGAGAAGACTGAGCACTATTTCTGCAACCCAGAGCTCTGAAAAACTAGTTTTGGGGGAGTCATAATTCTTAGAATCCTTAAGCAGCAATTCTGGCTGGGAGATTTGGGAACTTGTAGTAGTCGTAGTTTCTTGATGCATAGACTATTTGTATACAAAATAAATAAGTACACATAAATAATATAAAAGTAAATGGCAGATAGATCTTGCATATTTAAAAAATCAATATAATTAAAACAGATTAACAACAATACTACAATTGAATAAACTTTGATGATAGCATCCCCAGAGCAATCAATTGCAATATCAGTGATAAATCTTGCCTGTTACAACTTGTAAATCCAAAAGTCACTTTTTTTGTTGACATTTGTGTGAAATGTGGCCCTCCAGATATTATAAGGCTACATTTTTCGCCAACCTTAGCATAGTCCATGGTGAGGAGGACTTGGAGATGGAGTCCAACATTATTTGAAGAGTCAGAAGTTTCCTGCCTCTGCTATAGGCAAAGGTAAAGGTTTCCCCTTGACATTAAGTCTAGTTGTGTGCAATTCTGGGGGATGGTGCTAATCTCCATTTCTAAGCCAAAGAGCCGGCATTGTCCATAGACATCTCCAAGGTCATGTGGCCAGCATGACTACATGTAGTACCGTTACCTTCCCACCGGAGCGGTACTATTGATCTATTCCCATTTGTTGGTAGGTAGGCAGAAGTTGGGGCTAACAGCGGGAGCAAACCCTGCTCCCCGGATCCAAACAGCCGCTCTTTCAGTCAGCAAGTTCAGCAGCTCAGCAGTTTAACCTGCTGCGCCACCTGGAGTTCCTCTGTTATAGAGCTAACAAATGTGCAGAAATGGACAGTGTAACTAAATAGAGGTTGGGATGTGGAATGGGGAGCCAGCACAGTGTGGTGGATTGAGTGTTCAGCTAGGACTCCATGAGAAACAAGGCCTCAAATCTCCATTCAGCCATGGAAACCCACTAGGCAATACTGCCTCAGTCCTAGAGGAAGGCACTGGCAAACCTCCTCTAAGTAAAACTTATCCACCAGATTCTACAACAAGGAGGCTATAAGTTAGAATTGACTTGAAAGCACATATCAAGAATAACACATGGAACATTTTCAGTAAAATTAAAGGATTTTGGATGATTTAGCTTGAAGGGAGAAGTTGCTAAAAGTGGAGTAGATGATAGAAGTGTATAGAAACAAACACATGGGAGAAAAATGGTTGGGAGAGATTATTGCTGACTTGGCTCCCATTTTTGGGAGACAGATTGGGATACTATTCCAGTTAAATAAGTGTATAAATTAATAAACATGGAACCCTTTTTGAGATTAGTAGGTGTAACCTCTGGGCTTCTGTCATTTACCCTGTCCATCCCACCCCTTTAATCCATTCTTGTATTAGAGCCTTGACCTTATATATGGACTTGAGGCTCTATTGGTTTTACTGTGGTTCATGTCACCATGAACCCACAGTTCACGGTGACATGAATCATAGTGAAACCAAGACCACACTTAATAAAAAGAGACATAAGCAGTGGTAAAAATATACAAGTAGATGTTTATTGAGTCACATGCCATTAATATATTAACTGGAGAAATTACACTGTTCAGCTAGTATTGCACCATCTGACATCTGCCGGGAAGTAGCAGGCAATAATGAAAGGACCAAGGTAGTGACATCTCCAGCCGATCCTCAGCCAGCATGCCAATGGCTTAAATGAAGAAATAGTTTTCTGAGATCTACAGAGATACTCACAGGAACACCTCAGCAAGTGAGAGTCCAAAAGTGGCAGGCTAAAATCTGGAACCTCAAGCCATGGCTGATACCGAATGAGAGACTCCCCACTGGGCAGAGAGATGACTGGGAGACTTGGAAGGCATTAAACAGACTGCACTCTGGCATCACAAAATGCAGAGCCAACCTTCAGAAATGGGGCTACAAAGTGGAGTCCACGACATGCGAGAGCAGAGAAGAGCCAACCACAGACCACCTATTACAATGCAGCCTGAGCCCTGCCACATGTACAATGGAGGACCTTCTTATGGCAACACCAGAGGCACTCCAAGTAGCCAGCTACTGGTCAAAGGACATTTAATATAATGCCAAGCTACTTAAACTTTGTGTTTGTAAATACATTACAACTGTATCCTAGGTTCGCTTCTGATACGATAAATAAATATATTAACCCTTGAACTCTCACTCAGTCATAGCTCCCTAAACCATATAAACCAAACGGCATCTGTGTCAAATCCAAAGAAGAGACAAACTAGGCATTCCCTGAGCTTAAATCAGGTTTGCTCGCTCCTCTTTTACAGCAGGTGCTTCAGGGGTTGAAGAGAAGTCCTTTGCCCAATACCTCATTAGTGGAGAATCTTTGTTTCTGGAGATCTTGAGTTTCCCCTGCATTTGACAGCAGGAGATAGGACAAAGGTGGGAGTAAAAAGCTATCAGTGTCTACACTGCAATATTTGGAAATTTTATTTTTGTAGATCACAACTTGCAAAATGCCCCAGCCATCATGGCTAGTAGGATTTGGAAGTTGTGGGCCAACAAGGAGTTTCTTCCAGCTTAGCATGGATGGATGCAGCCTTATAGACAGAGTACAACTGGCCCCTTCTACACTGCTACATAATCCAGATTATATGAGTCTACACTGACATAATCCAGTTCAAAGCTGATAATCTGGATTTTATAAGGCAGTGTAAAAGGGGCCTCAAATTCAGTTACTGAAGAATAGGACTTTGGGATGGCTACAGATGTCACTGCCTGCTGGTGGTCTTCCAAAAATTGCCTTCCTGGTCATGGGAAGGGGAGGGGGCTGCAAGATATTGCTCTAGATGGGCTTCTGATGTTCTTGAATTTCATGTACACGTAGAATATCCTTTATCCAAATTTGGGTCTTGAAGTGATTTGGATTTTGGGATACTTATATGTACCTATAATGAGATATTTTGGAGGGGGCACTCAAGTCTACAGAATTCATACATGTTTTATATATTCTTTATGCACATAGTGGGAGGATGATATTATATATTAATGTTTTTGTGCATGTAACAATTTATTGTACATCGAACCATGTTCTCAGACACCCATAAGGACAATTTTGGAGGAATTGAGGAGAAGGGATGCTCAATGTATATTCACAGTTCAAAAGGAATTTTATGCAAATACATATATATTGACTTCATCATAAATAGTTGGCTCCTTTTCTTCTGCGCTATGGTATGGTAGGCGTAATAATAGGTCCATGCAGGAAACCTATCCAGACAATACAAAATGGATAATTTGAAAGGAAGCAGGAAAGCAAACAACCCATCCAGTGTGAAGACTTTCACCGTTCCATAAAATCTCTTTCATGCTATCCCATGATGTTGGACTGAAACCTCTATTATTCCCAGGGTGAATAGTCCACCACCAAAATGATGCGTTTCCTGTTCCTAGCTGCATATTGTTGATAGGCATTTTATACCAAGTATGGTATGCAAAGCCCCAGCATAGCAAAGAATTAGGAATGTTGGGAGTTGTAGATCCTTTGAAGATGCTAGCCAGAGATGCAGCCGAAACGTCAGGAGAAAATATTGCTAGAACACGGTCATACAACTCAGAAACCACAAATACCCCAGTGATTGCAGCTATGAAAGCCTTGACAACACATTGAACTTTTAGAAGGCCACATATCCCCGTGGTACATTAAAATACACTTGCAAATCATCCACATGTTTGCCGGAATTATAGGGAAAAGATAAGACTTTCAACTCAAGGAGTTTGTTCAGGGAGGTATCATGGTAACGGGATCGTTTAAAGAGTGATTCATCAAGGTTAATGGGTCTACTCCATAGAAAACAGGATAACCAAGAACCTGTTTAAATAATAACATGCAACTGTCAAGAAGCACGCACACACCTGTTTTTTTTCTTTTGCCGGTAAATCTAATATATACTTTTCAGTACCAGCTTGTGATTCTGTAATGGTTAGGACTGATAGGATGTGGTATTTTGACATTTTCTGGAAAGGGCACATGATTTTAAAGCTAGCTTTAAAGGGGTCACTGCATAACCAATGCACTTTGTGCACACAGTGAAACACTGGTTTAAAAAGCCTTTGTCAGCACATCTGAGATTGCAAGAGGGTGAATGCTTGCTAATGTGATGAAATAAATATACAAATTAACCACAGATTTTCTCTGGACGGGGCTAGGAACACGCAGGGAAGGCCTGAAGAATACCGACCTGGGGAAGCAGAACAAAATATTACAGAAAAGGGTTTAGGATCCAAATATAAACACAATCACAAAACATAGCACTGAGCTTTGGGTTTGTTTTTTTTTTAATCTTGTCGGAAGCAACTTAAGTAACTGCAAGTCGTTTCTGGTGTTAGGGAATTGGCCGCCTGCACGGACATTGCCAGGAGGATGTTATACTATCCTTTGGGAAGCTTCTCTCATGTCCCCGCATGGGAAGCTGGAACTGACAGACAGGCGCTCACCCTGTCTCACGGATTCAAATTGCCAACCTTCAGGTCAGCAGTTCAGTCTGCACAAGGGTTTAACGCATTGTGCATTGGGAAAAAAACATACCAGAACTTGGAAAAGTGGAAAACTCCTATCCAGCCAGTAATTTTGAAGGTGCACAAAAACAAAGCACACAAAATTATGTGCATATTTTAGAGTATTAGAATTTCTTTGTCTTTTCTGGCATCTGCCATGCTACTGACCTTTCCACTTTTTAAAAAGAAGCACAACCTTCTGATCAATCTTTGGGATCAATGTGGTTTTCTCTCCAGAACCCAGAAACTATTTGGTTCCATCAACAGTAGCTTAAACAACAAACCACCCCTTTTAACTTTTGACCGAATCAAGGCTCCCAATGAC